TAGACTTTGCGGCATGCAGGACCGTATTCATGAATTTTTCGCTTCTTGTCTTCGTCAGTGACACGCTCCAACAAATCATCGACCTTCGCTTTCAGTTCTTCCAGACTAACTCCTGAATCATTCATCTGTTTCAATTCCTTCATCTTCTCATCACCAACGATTTCCTTCAATAATTCACGACAACCTGCACGAAGTTTCTCATCAGCTTCTTTCTTTCCGTCACCCGTCAATTTCTCGTAGTAATCAAAAATTTTCTGTTGAATATCCGCTTTCGGCTTTCCTTCTTGTTTCATTTTCCTGATTTCATCCTTCTCAGTATCCGTCAACCAACTCAGATGTGTCTGGAAATAATTCTCCAACCTATGCTCATGATGATCTCGCTTGCTTCGGCTACTAGTTTCCATCTGCGGAGAAAGCCATCGAGCTCTTCTATGCTGCTGCTGATGATGATGATGATGACGTTCGTGGCCATGATTATTTTCATTGTACCATATATGTTCGCAAATTTCCAGATCCTTATTTACTGCTTCCTGCTTTTCCAGTGATAGGCGCTTGATATACTCTCGAATCTAAATTAATTACATTCTTACTCAGAATATGAATCGGTTCCTTTGGTGGTTTCTTATAAAAAAATTCGAGGTTGTACATGATATTTACGACGAATTATTAAGACCAGCAGAAAAAATTCAGGAAATTTGTAAATATTTGATATTAGGTAATTTTTCTTTAATTTACGTCCCAAATTTGAAACTAGATTTGAATATATTAAGTTTAATTGCTGAACATCATCGGTGTTTATGATACCTTCTGCTTGCAAGCAGAATGATCAGTATGGTGTAAATTTTCTAATTCAGCTCTTTCCTCAATGGAAGTCACATTCTTGAGCCATGCATAACAAGATTGTTTGGTTTTTTCAATGGTATGAAGCTGTTTATCACTTGTCATAGCTTCGATGTAAGAGAGTAATCTAAAAAGCAAATTATAATTTTTTTGGAGGTTACGAACTGAAACGTCTCTTTTCATAGATCAGTTGCTGATTAAACTAAAACTGAAAATTTCGAAAACCCAAAATTTAATTCAAAATTTTATGTAAAAGATATAATTGAAATTTTGAAATTTATTTAAAAATGTGATCTATCAATTTGCTTGTTTTCGAAGTTTTCAAAGCCTTCAAAATTTTTGATGTAAATCAATATTATGGTATTTTTTTTCCTCCAGTATATCTAATAAAAATCAATTTTTGTAATATTTTTCATATTTTAAATATTATACTTTTGTTTAATTGCTGGCAGTGATTCATTATTTTCTTTCATCTGCCTAATTTCTGCCTTCTGTTCAGATGTAAGCCACTGGAGGTGTTTATCCATCAGAGCATCAATATCACGCTTCGATCGACCAAGTTTTTTGTGATATACGTCATCACATATCTGTAAATATCGGAACTTTCAAAGATTTAAAATGAAGGCAATTAAAATATGATAGTATAAACTACGATGGAACATGCATTGAATATTACTGGTGCTTCTTAATTTCATCTTTATCTTTATTAGTCTATTCTTTATTACAGTCTGTCTGATATTTCAAACTGTGTGTTACAGAAGCTGAGGATTCAAGGTATTATTTTAGTGAATAAACACAAAAATGGGACAGAAAAGTGGATAGCACTATCGGTAATAACTAAAATGCTTGAACATACCAGACGTTTGCTCAAAATCTAGCAGCTTGAATCCAAATAGTTCAATTGTATCTTGGAAATCTGTTATTTATGTATTATAGCAATATATTGTGTAATAAAGTTATGATGATTACTGTCGTCATAATTACTAATTTAGTCACATTACTAAATATCAATGACCATAGAGCGTTACTCATGACTCGAGAGAGTTAGACATAGAAACTTTGTTGTCCAATAATTAATCAGTAACACTACATATCCTATCAAAAACAATAATATTCTGAATATGAATGAAATTTGTTACACTTTGAATGTAATTTTGAAATTTTAAATTTGCGGATTATTCGATGTTCTATTCTCAAATTCAAGGCTTGCAACTGCACGATTATCTTGGCTTATGGCTCTTGTTTTGTATAACATACCAGAGCATGTAATATCAGAAAAAAGTTCATAAACACAACTGTTTATGAACGTTCTTTTGATCAATATGGATTACATTCACGAAAGCTTTACTAACAATAGAGTGAAATGAATTACCTGATAAAATTTATATGCCTTATCTCGTATTTCTTGCGGTTGTCGGTGCAAAATTTCATCAATAATTTTTTTGTGTTCATTGTGACTCGTCTCATCGTGAATGGTATTTAACTTTTCAATTTCGTCTTCTTTTGCCATAGCGACAAAATATTTCCTACATTTCTCCTAGAAAACGATAATATGCTGCTATGCTTAGTGTTGCAATTTTCAGTGAAGTTCGATGGATGAAGTTATTCCCGATTATAACAGATATCTTTATATTATGAGTAAGTTTCTTTTTTCTTATCTATTTTTCTTATCACAACTAGAGAGAGTGAAGAGAAGAAAGAAAGAGAAGTGAAGATAGATCTAAAATTGAAAAGCAAACTTTGATAGAAACTGTTAAACTGTTGTATACCTTATAATCGTTTATAAGTTCATTCTGCGTTGCTTCAGGAAGTTTAAGAAAATGCCCATTAACTTTTTTGTGTATCTCATCAAATGACGATCCATTATTACGCATCTCTTCCAATTCATGCTTTTGTTCATCGGTCATCCATAATATCCATTCGTTATATTCTTCATTCACGTAACGTTTTTGACGATTGGAATTTACTACTTCCTTCCACATTTCACGACATATGTCTGTAAATGGTCTTTTTTCTGAATGAGGAAAATTTGAAATGCTACTTTTTAATCGAATGTATTATTTTCAATGTTATTTATGGTGATCGCTTAAGAATTTTTACATCATTGTAAGAAATGCTCTTCACTTCGTTAATAACCTTTAATATAATGCAGTTTATCCTGTTGTTCCTTGGGCAATCGTTCAAAATACTCATCAAGTAAAGTATTGAAAACTAATCGATTTCTTCTCTGCAAATTTAATTTAATTTACGATAATAGCAATAAGGATAATCATTGTTCTTGTGATATTTAAGAGAGTTTCTAGAAATTGGGCATAATACGGATGAACCAGTGGGCATTGTTAATTTTTTTTTTAAATTTCCAATTTCAAGTTTTTTTAAAACTTGACGTACAAAAAATTAATGCACTAATGTTAAAAGTAAATTTACCATTAGCAAAATTAATTATATTATAACAAGTGGGCACATAAAATCATTGTATTTCGTTTTTTTAATTTTCCGAAATTTTTATCATTCTGGATTTTTAAATCTCAATTTCATATTTAAGCTTTAACACTGCCCAATTTTAAAAATTAAACCACAATTAAACCTCAAATGAGTTGAGAAACAGTTGAATTTCATTGAAACTTGCTACTTCTTCTATCCATTGAATACATTTCATTTTAAGCTGGTAATCCAGTTCCATTCTTTTGTATTCTGGAAATGCGGAATAATACTGTTCCACCTGCAAGAAATCCATAATAACATGAACTATAACAAAATAAACCATCACTTTCCAAAACGATATTTAATTTTGGTCTTAACTGTCAAATACAAATATTGGATTGACATGTCAAACATATTACTGCAGAATAAGCAATCTGACAAGAAATCTGTTTATTCAGTAAATTATCGGCGATTAATCTAAAAAAGGCCGCATTAAAGACACAAAACAAAAATTAACTTACTTTGCGTTTAATGTCTTCTTCGTTGGCCTCGCTAGCTTTCATGTCCTCTAATAAAGCAATCTGTCCATTGGAAAAGAGATGAACATTTTCATTATTTTGGAATAAATCACGTGGAAACACCATGCGAATTGCATTTTGTTGGACATCCAAATTGTTCAACTTGTTGCAACCATCCTAGTAAGTTTTAATTTTAAGCAATGAACAAATGTTTTTTTTTAAAGCATTGATGCAACCCTCTTTGTAACTCAATTTTTATTGAATTTGCACTCTTAAATTTCTTCTCAAGATTTCAAAGAAAGTACCTGCCAAAGACTGATTTGATCCTGTTCGTTTTCTGAAAGACGATTTTTATACTCATTCAATTTTGCTTCATATTCCTTGACAGCCATCTTGCTCCTCAAATTCTCCAGCTCAGTTATCTCACCATTGCTAGCAACCTGAACATTTTATTCACTGCATATGAAATTTATTTTCTGTGCTTTACACAAATAGTAAGAAATAAGAAATTGCTTTTCAATATTACAAAATGAAAATTTTCAAAAACTAATTTTTAAAACTTTAATTAAATCTATTTTACCCTCTCAATCCATTCATTACATCGTCGCTTGTACACTTCATTCCATTTATCTTTCTCTTTAGACGGCAATTTGGAAAAAAATTCCAATATTCTGTTGACGATTTCGCTCTTAGGCTTTCCTTCCGATTCCATCTATGAAGATTTTTTTCATATCTTTTTTCCTTTATTCAAAAAATCTATGGTTGAACTTTTTTTGAAATTTTTTCAGTTCACTGGAAGGCAGTGATACTGATATAAGAGTTATTTGTTGATAGTTCAGATATGAAGCACGATTAACCTTTCTTCATTTCTTAAACTTTTAGGATAATAAAATTTATTAATTTCGAAATTTCTTTCAACATTTTAAACTTACAGTTCGAATTTCTTGCTTCTGCGCTTGCGATAACCAATCGTGCAGTTCAAAATTTTTCTTCTCTCTGTAGTTTATCATTTTAATAACTAATTCAAACAATGATAAACTTAATCGAATTCTTCACTGATCCATCAATTACCTTCTGATTTATTCATTGTTTGACTACTCATTTATTTAATTAATAATCTATTTGGTTATTGTGCGTTTGTTCAGTTTGACTTGTTCCTCCAATAAATTAACTTAAAGTTCAATTAAAGTAAGCGATGGAAACAAATACATAGCAATAGAAACAAAAAAAATATTAATCAAACATTTTTTAAACACCTTATGAGTGCATCGTTGTTAACTTTTCCAATAGTTCCCGCAGTTTCTAATTTCATTTGCAAATGTCGCATCTTTCTCGATGTTTCCACTTTTTTTTGCATCGCTTTTGCTTCCAACATATCAAATGCATTCCCACAATTGTTCTAAACAGCATTTGACCTTTTTACAAATTGAACTTTGAACTTTCGATAATTTTTTCAACTCTAATGAATTATGTATATATTATAAAGCCTGTTCTCAAAGAGCAAATTTTATGTTTGCGTTAGTCGTCTGATAATGCGATAATTTTAAATTATGAGAGAAATTTTTGAGCATTTTTTGATTCTTACAAATGTTGGATGTTTATAATTGCTCAATTTAATGAGTTGTAGAAAATTACATGAAAGAAATTTCTTTATCCAAACAAAAAACTTACCGATTTCGTTACCACACAAATGAATACTGCAATCATCCATACCAGAGAACGTGTCAACATTGTTTTTATCTAATAGTCTGTAATTCTTTGTGTGTTAAATTGAGACAGTTCTTGGTATTGATATGAAAATAAACATTAAAAATGTAAAGTCGACGAATAAATGGATTGCAACGTAATTTAAGTATTGAAATAGATGAAAATATTAATGAATTTAGATATATTATTTCTGATTTTGTGAAAAAAATTGAGTTGATTTTGAAAATTACTCAGTTAGATCATTGCTACAGGAACAAATTATTTGAACTTGACGATCTGTGAAGATTTTAAAATGTTTATAATTCACGTTATCCATTCTTTGACGGCACTAATATAAATAAATTAATTAAATTAGAGAGCAAACTGATTTAAATTAAACTTTGAAGTGCATTATTCTATGAGGAAATAAACAACAAATGGAGCACTCAAAATACTGTAATAAAAAGCTTTAAAAATTTTTGAGAAACGGATGAAGGAAGAATTATCAGCAGTGAGTCAAAAGTTAAAATAGTACAAAAAAACAAATAAAATGAGAAAATAGCGAGGGTCACCGTTGTTGGGGTCATTGGTATCCGCTAAATAAACACCAAACAATGCGATTCAATCTTCTCTCTTTCCTTGTCTTCTACCTTCTCCTCTTAACCTCTAAGATCAATAAATATTGTCTGAACAAACAGAGATATAAAGAAAGTAACAACATCTGCTGCCCAATTATTTTGATAAAGAATGAAATAGACAATCTCCAACTTTTTTTTTCGTAGATCAGCAGATCAACCTGACATAATATCCATATCAGCT